TAAACATTTTATTATTTTAACAGGTGAACCATATTTTACATCAACTTGGGAAAAGCCAACTTGAATTCCATGGAAATATATAATCATGTCATCAATCAGATAGTAAACAATCATTAAGAATTAGATGGCCTCAAGATTATATTTCACATTGACCAACATGAAAATTTTTAAATGGGAATGAGTTGATGGCATTATAGTTTTCTAATGTTCATCAAGGTGAAGAAACTCACTATACCTTTCCCTGGTACAGAGCCATAGTAGTAATCTTAGAATATTTTCATGATGCCTCTGTTCAGTAGTTCTTCCCAGTCTAGTATTATGACTGTATTATTTTAAATAGCCTTGTTTCACTTTTGTATTTCGTTTCTTTAATAATACAATCATTTACAATGGTGAAAATTACAGTTTAATATTTGTATTTCTAATGATAATTACTTGCACATATCCATCACACTTCTCTGTTACTATATTACTACCATGCAAGTAAAATCTCTTGGGAAAAATAAAATGTTGTCCCAGGATGGTCATAAATATCAGCTAATAAAACTAATGAATATACCCATAATCATGTACATATGACTATCATATAATATGTTGTAATTCCTTTGAGTGTTTCAAATCAAATAAATTTTTATTTTCAGTTGTTCATTGTTCAAGCTTATTTGAAACCTACAGTATATGTAGTTGCTATGATTCAAATTAATATCCAAAAGTGTGCCTTTTATAGACTCCACCCTAATACAGAGACTTTATTGTGCCACTCCAATGTTCATTCAAAGTGATCCAACTGACATCTGAGCTGGTGATAATATACAGCAAAGTATTGGAACTAGGAGTATATCACATAAGTTGTTCATTCAGTCAAGATATCCAGGTTGTGCTGATCATCATATCAAACTCCATCACATATTGTGCCTTAAAAACATATATACAAATTTTAAAACTTGTTGCAGCACACTGGACAATTCCATTTAATATAGCCCCCCACACCCTATTTAGGGGTCTCTTCATAATACTATTACCTTAAACATTTTGGAACCCCATTGGATGCAATTTTGGAACCCCCATGGATATCTTTCTACCCCTTTAGGATATTGTTCCTGCCCCTTTGGATATCACTAAAACACCTAATTTTTTGGAAATCTCTTAAGCTACCCTCCAGAAAAATTTAAGGTAAAATCCCCCTCTCTAAAATCCCCATATAGGATATCCAGACCTCAATAGTGGCGCTATTTATAGATGGAATGGCCCATTTGACTTGGTGAGTGGCGACTACCACCAAAGCAAAATGAAAGCATGCTGCCCTGCATTCCATACTGTAGAAAACAAATAAATTTTGAAGCATTTATACTGTTACTTGTAACGATAATCAGAATTGATGAGAAAATTCTTTCTGTCTTTCTGTATGGCTGTATGTTAGTGATGTGATCTCACTGTTCATTATAAGGCTGAAATAGTTTGAAACTCGTGTGAAAATAAATTCAGTATAAATGTACAGTACCTACCTTGATATACAGAACAATCAGTCAATATCATTTCATATTCCAGGCAACACCGTCAGTGTTCATTCAGTCGCATTTGAGGCCGAACAGCATCTGATATATACGAGGGTTGCCAAAGCGAACAAAACAATGTCACAAATATGAGCGCCATACTCCGACAAATTGATACAATATGATGACGAATGTTGCACAGTTTTGTGTACATGTGTGTTCACAGCTTATATCTGAAGTATTTTTCTTAAAATTTGTTAAAACTTTGAGAATAAATACATAAAGAATCAACAAAACATGTGTATTTTTAAGCAAGAAAAGCGTAAGCGCCAGCGCTAATTGTAGTCAGCAACATAACGTTGTCGTTACTGCGCATGCGATGAATCTCCAAGAATCTTGGAGATTTCATCGTATTTTACCAGGGTCTTCCTCAGCTCACGCGCCACCACGAGGAAGACCCTGGGGACGAGGTTGGCGACAATTATTTTGTCAAACATGGCCGCCGAAGAGGAGTTCAAAAATTGGTTAGAAACTGAAGGGAATATTCGCTTTAGAGAAGCGTTGAAATTATCGAAGGAAGAGTCGGAAAATGACCCCGAGACAGAGCCGTATAAGTCGAAATATGCAGCACGGCAGATATTGTTGAATATCAAAAATAAATTAAATTCATTAAATGTTGATGACAGCCAAAAATTAAGATTGAAATCGATTCAGTCGGTTATTGATTATGAGCTAGGTTTAACCTATATTGAAACGGATGAAATAAGCACAGGGGAGCGATATATAACTAGCATCACTGAAGACTTTGAACAGTTCAAATTGAAGCCAGAGTTTTGTGCAGTAATGGTGAAATGTTTCCAACAACTTGGAATGTTATGGAACGAGAGAAGCGACTTTGAAAAAAGTCTTGGCTATTTTAGCAATGCAGAGAGACTATATAATGAGTACAAGGCATTATGTGAGGTTGCACCATTTGATTACAATATGTAAGTTAGTAAAGTCACCATCATGTTAGGGGCCATTCACAAAGGATGTCCGAGCCGAAGGGGGGAGGGGGGTTTGGAAAATCAGGACAAACTCGGGCAGTCCTTCCTGTTGTGAAATTGGCATTTTGACTATGCGGTTAACACTAGATTTTGTTTTAATTAGTAATTTATATGTTTTTGTGTTCACATTTACAGTTATAAAAAAGTTCCAAAAGTAAAAAAGTTTTTTACTCTTGATATATACAAGGTTGCGTGAGTTTTTGCGAGGCATGGCGGATGTCCGGGGGGAGGTTCACTAATTCGGACAATGCTGGACAAGGGGGGGAGGGGGGTCTGAAAATCCATCATTTGGCCGGACATCCTTTGTGAATGGCCCCTTAATTATAAACCTGCGATCAGGCCCGGCTATAAATAAATCAAAGTGACTAGATGACTGGCAGCCGGCTATCTAGTAAACTGCCGGCTATATAATAACTATAGTTACATATAAAAACATTTGTTTGCACTAGTTTTACCGGGCATATTGTAAACACTGGACTGGACTTTGGATTTTGAAATTATATTATTTTTAAGATTTTCGTATAATTATATTAATTAAAATCTAAACGGCCAGAACGAAAATTTGTGCATGATATAATGTTCAAGGTAAAAAATACTATCAGTTATATAGGTATACCAGTGCAATTTCATAGATATAGCCTGTGGGATAACAGGATCATCTCAGTAATATTTTTCAGTATTTAATATTGAAATTTTATTATAATATTTGTATTTATAGTATGTTTAGTACAGTTTATACTGCAGAACTTCTTCTTTATTGTATAGATAATAGATTTATAAAAACAATTGTGACATAAAAGTATCTTGGCAAATACAAAATATTGAGAAACTATCACATATAAGTATAAACTACACGCGATTATTATTGCGCCTTTGGCTTTAAATAATTATTCGCCAAAGGCGAAGCCGTGATTATCGGGGAATTTGTCAAATTTTACCAATCAACTTGACAACTTGTAGGATTTGTTATATATTTATTCACTTGCGCAAAAATACTAATGACGGTATTGTTCATCTTTGCATAATAGTTTACACCGGTTTAGCGCCTGCCTAAATAGGCTGTGTTTACAATGTATTTTGTCTGTGTCAGTTTTAGCTTTTTATGCCATAGTCGGCATAGTGAACACGAAAACTCTCATAGTCATCATACTTTATAAAATACGAATGTATGATACATTATTAATTGGTAGTGCTGATTAGTAATTATGATAATCTATAGTATTACTTTATGTATATATTTATGTCTATATTATTGTCTATATATGGCTCTTTTGCGTACGTTACTGCGGCTGTGCATTAATCTTTATACTACGATTACGATTCCCGCCTGGTTCATCACTTGCAAGTGGTGGTAGTATTACAGTAAACGTGGCAAATAGTTGCTAGACTACCTGAAGCACATAGACATAGATTTTTGCCTTCTCATACACAACTGAGTAGGTCTTAAAAAGTGTGTAAATTTCCGTTCGAATATTCCTGTCCATCTACTAACACTTATTAATAATAACTGAAGCAGTTAGTGATAAGGATAGCTAACTAGAATGTCTTTCAAAAATAAGTAACATTAACAAAACGTTACTGTGTAACGGAGTAAACAATTACACAATACAGTACTAGTATAAACTAATATGCAAAGATGAACAGTCAATAGATACATAATACAATACTCAATAGGCGCAATAATAATCACTTGTATATAGTTAATATTTTGTATTTGCCAGACACTTTTGTTACAATTGTTTCTGACACAATTAATCTATTATCTATATGATAAAGAAGAAGTTCTGCAGTATAAATTGTACTATGCATACTATAAATACAAATATTATATAAGATTTAAATATTAAATCCCAGAATATTGGATAATCCTGCTATCCTACAGGCTATATCCATATGAAATTGCACTGCTAGTATACCTATATAACTGATACTGAGTATTTTTTACCTTGTATTAATATATCATGCATGTGCATGCAGTGTAGCACGCTTTTCAGCAGCAAATTTTCGTTCTCTGTTTAGATTTTAATATAACTATACGAAAATCTAAAAAAATATAATTTCAAAATCGAAAGTCCAAAGTCCATAGTCCAAAGTCCAGTCCAAAGTTTACAATATGCCAGTTTTACCGAGCTTGCCGTTAGCGCATACGGCAAAGGCACTGTGTGCGGAAAGTGAAACCCAGCCGGGGTCGGGTTGTGTTTTTAACATCTGACTTTTTCTCCGCCTTTTTATTAATTTTAACTCTCAAAAGGTTAGGTTAGGGGTTAGGGTTAGAGGAGGGTTTGGGGTTAGGGAACGGTTTATCTTATACAAATTCGAGTTTAATTATAGTCACTATATAGCCGGCAGTTTACTAGATAGCAGTCTGCCGGTCATCTAGTCACTTCGTAAATAAATAAATAGGCCTGATATATACAATTAACAAAAGTCAATGCCGTACAACCATATTTCGGTTGTAAATCTGATTGGTGTATGAGACAAAAGATTTTTTAATCTGTCATTTGATTGATTGGTGCTAATTAGATTATACCATTGTTGTTGATATATTTTATAGTGATCACAACTATAATTAGATTATAATTTTATTGATTGGATGCTAAATATAAACTTGGGTATATTATTATTGATTGGATACTAAATATAAACTTGGCTTGCTGTGTGTAGAAAGCGATTGGATTAAGGGTTGTGTCAGGCTATTATTTGTAAAATAGAGCCTGATACTCAGGTTACCATCATGTTAGAAATCAAGCTTGCATTGAGCACAGCTCACATTGTTAAACCATTAAAACCAAAACACCTTTCCCATCTGGCATTTCACAGAGTTGCAATGGTGTGATAATATGAGCCTAGGGGTGCACCAGATTTGGAATTTTCAAATCCGGCCGGAACCGGATTTACCGGATTTGGACAAAAATTCCGGCCGGATTTGAGATAAACCGGTAATGGGGACAATTGGGGATAAATCAGTATTCAAAATGACGGTTTATGTTTTTTACTATTTTTAGTTGGTGTCAGTTTAGATTTTTGATTGTGTTTAAACCTTTTTTAAACATCTTTTTGTTAATAACTTAATATTTTATAATAATATAAGTGTTTTTTTAAACTTTAAAGCTGCCAAATTGATGGTTTATCCCATTCTTGGTGAATTTTTTATGGTGAAAACAGAAATTTAAATCCGGCCGGATTTTCTCCAAATCCGGCCGGAAGCCGGATGCCGGAAAATTGGTTAAATCCGGCTGGAATTCCGGCCGGATTTGAAATCCGGTGCACCCCTATATGAGCCCATCGAGTGGCTCAGCTCTCTCCCTTTAAAAGTAAAATTGTCTCGCATTTATAGACAGAGTAAAATAATAAAGTAGGAAGCATCAGTCGAGAGTGCATTACCACTTAAAAGAGTCCCTAGGGTTTTATTCCCATGGGGTGTAACTTGTGTAACTTCAAAATACAAGCGAATGTTGTGTTTTATATGAAACCACCTTACACAAGGGTCCCATTGTGAACATCAGATATGATATAAAGTTTCTTAATGCAGTGTTTTTGCACAATCTGGCAGCATTTCTTGACTTATTTGTATTATTGATATTTTAAATTTTCTAAGAATCCTATTGATAGAATATTTTTAAAATTGAAGAAAAAAATCACACCAGTATTGTCTTTTATGAAAAGTTTTAAAAAAATTGTACCAAAGGAAATTTTTTAAAATGGCCGGAAAAAGACAAATTTTGAGCTTTATTCTAAGCATGCTGTTGCCATGGTAACATACTTTCAACACAAAAGTAACAAATTGGCATGTTCAGGAGAACATTGAACATTGCAATTCGCAGTCAATGTGTCCAATAAATTTCATCTTCCAAAAATTTCATGTAAAGTGAAGAAACAGGAGTGTCCTGGATACTATAGTGTACTATAATGCAAAAACCCTAAGGATTAATGAGTGGCAGAACTGTTCGCCTGATGAATAAAATAATAAGATAGCATCCATCAGGCCACATTGTGTTTAGGAAATTGCTAAATTTGCAGGTTTTAGTTCCACCTAAATACATGTAAAGTAAGATTGTAGATATGCTGATTGAGATCAATAGAATATTTTTATTTTTAGGCTGTTTGAGGAAAGCCAAACCAACATGGCCGACAACTTTGAAAGTCTGCAAACCCATACATTGTATTACCTCACTCAAGCATACAAAAATAATGGCCAAAACAACAGGTCTGCAGAGTATGGGCACAATACATTGCAACGACAGCTAGCAAGCAAACTGTATTCTCCCGTAGACTGGGCAGTCAACTGTGCAACATTGTCTCAATACCATTTGACACAAGAGGATTATGCAAGCGCCAGACATTGTCTAGGTGGGTCATTCATTTATGCAGAAATTTAAAATGAAGTCTTAAGAGACAGAGATCTATATAGCACGCTTTGCTTTAAACATGTAGTTTTTTAGACCACTAATGGTTCCATAACTATTTTTAAAGCTGCTGCAAGTTGTGTTATTGCTGAATGTCCAGATGATGAACAAAAGCATGACAGTGTTGTTGAGAATGAAGGGGAAGATGATAGGAAACTAAGAGAAAGAATTCCTGAAGCCAAAGCTAATGTTGCACTATGTTGGAGTAAATATTGTTTAAATTTGTTAAAATTGTCTGCAGAGACTGAAGATGATGAGACCAAAGGTAGTTGAAAATTAAAATTTCTTCTCGGTTGGTGTGGTAATGTATTATTTTGTTTTATGTAAAACACCACGTTTATTTATGTTACAAAGCTCCTGAATCACTACAGTCTTCTACAGTCTATTATAATCACTTCTGGTGAACCTTCAATGTTCTACTTTAGTTCCCAGAAATATCGTCATGCGCACTTTCAGTTTTACGCACTTCTGGATTTCGTTTCATGCCTGCAAACTTTCAAACGCGTGTAAGGGCAGCGAACTTTTTCGTAGGTTATTACTTTACCCTCAGCTAGTTTAATCCAAGGTACGAGAGTTGGGTGAATTGATGCACGGGCACTACACGGTAAAAACAAGCTGGATAAAACAAAGGTTAAGTTGTTTTTCCATTGTTCGCGCACGTCTTTTATACCAGTCGTGTTATCATTGCAATGTACCTTGTTGTTGATCAATACGGTTCTTTGTTTTACAGATCTTGCCAAAGACGCCAAGAACATTCTCCAGTTTGAAGGATTGGATGTTTTTAAAATTGAATCAGAAATTCCCTTTGAAATTGTCAATAACTTTGATGAGGTAGCGCTATTTATTCTAAGTGAACCACAGAACCAGTCTTATTTGCACTAGTTTGCTCTATATTGACGCAATGTTTTTACGTTCCAGGCACGTGCGTTGTTCCTTGCTGGTCAACAACACCTCAATGCGGCAAAACAGTTCTACCAACTTGATGGTCATGTTGTAAACTACGTGGAAATAATCCAAGACCACAGTCAGTTGTTCAGGTATCTGATTGCTTTCGAGGAAGACTTGGAGCGCCAGAGCAAGATGTGTAAGAGACGTATTGACATGCTTACTGAGGTGTTGGTCGAGCTAAACCCTCAACATTATTTATTAATATGCAGGCAATTAACTTATGAGATTGCTTCAGTTTATGGAGACATGGTTGACTTGAAAATGGAAATTATCAAAACGTCGCACCAAGATAAACCATCGCTACACCAGATTAAGAAGATCAACTCACTTCTCAAAAACAGCGCGAAGTTCTTCACTCATTTTATCGATTCTTTGAAGCAAGAAGGAAAGTTACCAGAAAAGTTTGACGAGTCTGTTCTACGTGTTGCACTATTAGCGCATATGTACCTTGCACGTGCCCACGCGAAAGAGATTTGCGCGACACGCGAGGAGAGATTGGCGAACCAGCAGAAAGCGTTGGAATTGTACAAGTTTGTTGTGGATTATTGTGATAATGATGAAGATGGAGCCATTGCTATTAAAGAGGAGTTGTCAGCCTGTAAAGAAATGGTGGACTTACTACCATTCAGACTGGACCAGATAGGACAAGATTTGGAACGCTGAATAGAATGATCTTGTCAGGATAAATAAGACATACAGTAATGTTATTTGAAAGTTGAGTTAGAGAAATAGTACATGATAAGGACGCAACAATGTCATGACAGATTTCCTCAACACGAAGAATAACGTTATGTTATGGAACACAAAACAATTAGAATGTCAGTTAAATGACTGCAGTTTATCAGTTGAACTTGTGCCTGAATGTGTGCGTCAATAAACTGAACTTTTGCAGGAGCTAAAAAAGAGCAGAGGCCAATTCTGTTAAACGTTTTTAAAATTCTATACGACATACAATGATGCCATGCGAATATTCGAGAATATAATTCTATTGCCTATATTTAAATTACACAGTGTTTTGCATTCAAATTATGCGACAGTGATATTACAATACTTTTGCCTGGACCACATTGTCTGTGGTCATTGGCGTGTAAAATGCTTTGTCTGTCGGAAAAGAATACAATAGATCGCCGATGAATTACAACCAGTGTGAACCATGCTTTTACAAAAGAAAACTCGTCCCAGCAGGATAGGTATATTAATATGCATGACTTCTATTGTTAATTATCCCAAACTGTGACAGTGGTAAATTGAAAACAGGGAACGAAACATCAACGCATGCAGTATAATATTTCTCAAAATAAGCTGCTGGGATAACTAGTGACATATGTCTCAACTCTCAATACATTTTTTCAGCTAAGGTGACGTATACCTTGCGGTTGAATGTCCACACTAGATCATCACAAAGCCAAACGGTTTCCTGTGACATCTCAATGAGAACGTCAAAGCTAGTCAAGTATGTGTTGTGTCGCAAGGACAAGGTTTTCATTATCGAACATTTCAAGCCACCACAAAGCCTCAGAAGGTTTAGCACTCGCAAACAATTGCAATGTTATTTTTTTCATGCACACAAAGAATAATATAAGTGATTGTATCAGCATGCCAATTCTATCATACTCTTCTATTTTAAAACTTGTTCGCCCTCAACATAGATTTAAAATTTGTTGCACGATCGATTCCTATTGTCAAACCCTGAAGTGATTTTAAAGTATTCCTTGACTTCTCACTGCGAGATCCTGGGGATCGTTTGGGGATTGTTTTTACAAGATAGATAGGCAGGAGGCTTGCTCCAGTCGATAATCAGGCATGCTTCGGGTCAGAATATAATTTCTCTTTGATCTTGATCGAAATAACAACACTGACCCAAATGTGTCCAAAACATGACGACAAAACCCAGGATTGTTACCGGAGACATTTCAAGCTCTAGATTAACAAAATAAAGGTTTCATGACTGTTCCAACTATGTTTTGACTTAAATAGAATACATGATAGTTTTGGACCAGCTAACCTTCAAATTTGCGGGTGGGGGCTGCTGAGCAGGCTAACCAAGATCGCGTGACTATCCTTCCTCGATCCGGGCTTCAAGACAAACATAGAAATATCTATTTTAAGAATATTTTCCTGTTTATGACCACAAGAGAGGAGAAAATCACATAAATCACGCTGGAGGCGAATGTCGTGCTCAAAACATACCGCAACCGTTACGTCGTTTCCCCAACTGCGACATCATCAGGGGGTTTGACATCACTGAGTAAACAAACGTCTTTGCAGTAAACACTGCAACGTTATACCGAAGATCACGTGGTACGCCCTCAGCCAATCAACGTTAGCCTGGTAATGGTTAAAACCCAGTAGAAGTAAAGCTAGGGTGTGCACTTTGGCAGGAGACGCAGAGAGTGCAAGCATCCAACATTTTGCAGAAAGAATTTCAGTCGGATTGAAGGTTTGTATATATCTGCACATATCTCTCACTTTATTTATATTGGTATACTGAATTTTAGTAAGACTGCTTGCCTTTAAACCTCAAGTTGCGGAGCTAATTATATAAATTGCATATTTCCATGAACCGAATCAGCTTTGTGAACATTCTCTGTGTTCTTGCAGTAGAAAGGGTAGCGTTAGATGCAGTGAAGATGCCACAGCTAGGAGACGGAACAGTCTGAACTTTGTAGTCAGAATTCTCCAGCAGAATATCAGGTCGTATTGATTGAGTAGAATACAACATTAGTGCGGTAAACCTTACAAAGTTGCTCAGTTTACAGCAGGCAGTTGTGCAAATGCAAGTGAATGTTTCATGTTTGCCCCACCTCATGGGACATACGATGTTCTCAATTTTCTCCTGGTTGTACCTCAAAGATTCCGTTTTCATCAACTTTTTCACACTGTGCAATTATTTTTAATAAATCAATGTCCAATGAAAGTGTTTATTTGTGCAACAAGCAGCGAAGGCGTTAATAAATTTAATATGAAGATAACGTAGTTCCACTATTTTGAACTTTATAACAATTTGTACTATATTGAAGGTAATATTGTTTGTAGCCATATTTGTAAATGCATTGTTATCTATATATCAACCGTGTATTGTACGAGTTGTATTCAAATAAACTGATTTAAAAAGAAGCAAATTTAAGCGAGTCAATTTGGACAAGATCTTTACTCTGCTGTCTATATAACGGGGATTGCACTGGTTTTGCACCAAAATAACATAATTATGTTTAAAAACACTCGGAAATTCTCCTGGTGACGTTTGCCGAGGTTGTTTTCAAAGCCAATGAACTATCCCAAACCAGCTGCTCCACCTTTAACGACACTTCTTGCAAACACCACCGATTACTAAATTCTATACACTGTGTCTTAATCCTTTCATCGTCTTTCTTTGTTTTAATCATAGTGTATAAGATGAATGAAATTTTCCCATGATTCCGTTATGCATTGTTGCTTCGGTGACTGAGAGTTTAAAGCAGCCATTCAATGAAAATGACATTAAATTTCCGTCAGACAAAAAAATGTCGGGGTTTTTGATGTGCTGTTAATTAGGAATGCATGGAAAACGGTTAGTGGTTTTCAAAGAATTTGCCGTTGGCAATTCAATAACAGGGTCGGGGCTACATGTTACATTGAAATCTGACGTCAGTACCCCATTTCTAGTTTTTTTGGCGCAGTTCCAATAAAACTGAAATTTACCAATGTTCTCTTACAAGAATACAGAGGCAAAGCATGAAGATAGGCTCAAGTGAGATAATGCAGATGTCATTCTGACGCATGTGTTGACAAATCTTTTTATCTGTCGGGGTTCCGTCAATGAAGACTAGACTTTGAATTGATTCTGAAAATCTATTGTGGTGTGATATTTCTCAGGCAATCACACATATGAATTATATTTAACAAATATAAAACATTTTCCGTGTTGATATACAGTTATATCAACACGAGTGGAAATTGGGAAAACGAGAAATTGTGTGGAAACACGACGCCCGAAGGGCGGAGTGTTTTCATACAATTTCGAGTTTTCCCAACTTCCACGAGTGTTGATATAACTATATATCAATACGGAAAAAATGTTTTATATTTGTTTTATAATATAGCAATGTCAAAAGCCCGAAAAATAAGAAAAATTTCCGTGTTTACAAGCGGCGGAAAATTTCCCGTGTTGACATGGAGTTATATCAACATGGCTCTTAGCCAATCAGCGTTCAGAATTTACAAATGCTATATTATAAATATATATCCAACTGTGAAATAGTTCATGATCTGGGTTCAATTAGACCACATTTATTTAGAACTTGAAAGTTTGAGAAATTTAGGTAAATATATAAAAAATAGACTAGTTGATTACTTTATTAATTACTGGAAAGGTCAATTTCAAGAAAGTCGTTCTAATGGTAAATTAAGAACTCTCGTACAAGTTAAAAATAATTTCAGATTCGAGGAATACCTTCACGTAATTTGTAATGTCAAACATCGTCAGGCAATAACGAAATTACGAATATCCGCACATAAATTACCAGTTGAATCTGGCCGATATAACAAAACCCCCTACAATGAGCGAAAGTGCACGTTATGTCAATCAGACGAAATCGGCGATGAATTTCACTATTTAATGTCATGCCCCAATAACGAATTTGTAAAACTCCGAAATACTTTTGTAACAGATATATGCAAAATCAACTCATCCTTCCGTTCAATTGATACAAAAAACTTATTTCTATATATACTAAATGTACATGATAAGTCTATCATGAAAATAATTTCAATATACTTTCATGATACTCTCGCAATGTACGATAGTCTTTTGTAGAATTTCTAGCTTTAATATTATAATACCCAATAGTTTATTAGATTTTATATTATATTATATATTAGAGTTAATCAATATTAGTACGCATGTCGCACTCCTAACCATGAACTATATGGTACGTACTTTATTGTTTAGTTTACAGTACATTAGGTACTTATATGTAAATGTTTTCATATATGCCTGTTTGGTATTTGTTGTTATTGAAATATATTATTATTATAAAATCCTATTTAGACAACAGTGTGGTAAGTTGGTTTCCAATTCCTACTGTTCAATACACCCCCAGATTTGCGTCAAACGTCATACTTCATGAAAAAGGCATGAAAAAAGTCGTTACCGATGGCATTTGAAGTAATGTCAATATTTCTGAATTCATTTCAAAATTCTAGTTAGGTTGATTTCCATACAATCTTTGTTCATTCCACCATGCAGAACAATAAGTTACGAACAGGTTACCTTAATTAACATATCAAAGGTATAAAACAAACATTTAAAAAAATCTATTTGACTTCTTATGACGTTGTCCTAGACAGTGCTTGAAATAATGGATCTCAGACGTCACAGTGGTCACACTATGTCAATTCTCATCCAAAAAGCTTTCAACTGCCGTCCATAACTTCTGGACGGGAGACCCGATAATCATTGTTTGCAATCTAGGATGCAACATAGTTAATAGAAGAGATGGTTTGGAAACTCATTAGAATGACAATATAACTCATTATCTATGTTAGTCAACGTTTATTCATAAATCTGGTCCTTCACCGTCACGTGCGTATTGCTTTAGGAAATGCAATGCTTTAGGAAAGTTACCTATCCATGACTCGAACAATAGGGTAAATTGGAAATTGCTATTGGTGGATTTGGCAAAAATATAATACACACGTGACGGTGAAGGACCAGATTTATGATTAAACGTTGACTAACATAGATAATGAGTTATATTGTTATTCAAATGAGTTTCCAAACCATCTCTTCTATTAACTATGGATGCAAACAGCCTTTTAACCCATGTCAAGCTCAGAGCTGCTTTCCGTTTCTTTTGCAAGTCGTACAACACTCAAAAAAGTAGGATGAGCGCTGAACGGTCTCTGATCTAACCATTCCAAATATTCTGTAATTTTATTTCGTTGCAGTGTTTCACTTGTGAAGAAGACAACAAAATGACGGACAATTTCGATCAAACGTAAGGAAATACTTCTGGTTTTTATTAGAATAGGAAAAAGAAAAAAGCAATCTTTTACAGAAAGATTTGACACAAACCACGGCCAACGGAAGATTATTTTAGATACGAGCTGCCACTAACGTTTTTTTTGTGACTGTTTTACACCCATGCTGGTATGTTTCTAAGCATTCCTACTTATTTTTCTGTCGTAGCGATGCTGGTGACCGCTATCTAATCCAGAGCAATGCTCTGTCTGGATGGTTTCTTGGTCCCAGAGCTGAGAACCGTGATGTATTCAACGAGCTCATGAACCAGACGATTGATCAACATCAACAAAACCGTCGCAAGTATTGGCCAACAGACCCTGAGTACATCACCAAGGCTCAGAAATGGACTCCAGCGTATAAAGCTGAGAAGAAGCAGCTGAAAGACAAACTGAAGGAAATGAATGATGATCTGGCACTGAGTACGCCAGTGTTTAGTCCGCGTTTTCAGGTACACAACAATGATCAACTCTATTTCTATGTCTGAAACTGAAAACTCGTTTTCATTATATCTGTCTTGCATGATGTTCTTTCAGTCCTATTAGTTAGTTTCTCATTCAGGTCCTTAGTTTATCTTAATATTTAAGCCAAATTTCAAGCCCTTTACTTGACCCTAATAAAGGGTCACGTGAACTATGTCATCTCACTGTCTGCAGTCGCAGGCTATATCTCAGGCATGGTATCTCACTGTTCTGTATGTCATCCAGTCACATACTGTATCATTGCAGGGTCACGTGAACTATGTCATTTCAATGCCTACAGTCCCAGGCTATATCTCAGGCATGGTATCTCACTGTTCTGCATGTCATCCAGTCACATACTGTATGTCAATCATTGTAGGGTCACATGAACTGGGATATTTCAATGCCTGCAGTCTTAGGCTATATCTCGGGCATGGTATGGAACCCTAATAACGTGGATGTCACAGCATCACCAATCACCACGCCTTACGAGATCATAGCGGCAGATCAGATTTGTGATATGATAGGATTTGATCGCACTAAGGTTGAACCTTGGGGACATATCACGTGTGGTAAGTTAAACATCATACACTAAAAAGAGTGGAGTATAGCAGAAAGAGTTACTGGCATTCAGTCAGTTTGCCTTTGGAAGCTGGTATTCATAACGGTGCCATTTTGTCCAGATCAATATATTATACTTTGTGATTCCTAAATGTAAGACACGTGAAGGCATATCATTTAATTTACGCCTAAGGAAGAAGTGGCATTCCAGTTTTGCCAACCAAAGCATTCGTTTTCCGGAAAGTGGGCTCACGTGACCAATTGTTGCCCATTTATTCTTTTTCTTCATTCCAGGTGGATCGATTGCGAACATTGAAGCAGTGTGGTCGTCCAGAAACATGAAGTTCTACCCTCTCAGTTTACAAGATGCAGTCATGGCTGAAGCGCAGCTAGCAGGAGCAAACACTTTCAAAGTCAATGTGCCAGCTCAACCACATCCACAACCCGGGGGTGACAACCCGTATGTCCAGGTGGAACTACAGAACTGTTCTGTGTGGCAGTTACTGAATCTTGATGTTGATGATGCTTGCAGGTCTGTCATTGTACCGCTGGTCAATATTCTTAGTTATGAATTTATATCTAGCCCTACCCACCCTGTGAATATTCCCTGTGCGAGGAAACTGGAGAAAACCCACGATGTTCGGCAGGCCATTTACTGACACTTTTACATGAAAGTCCGGAACGAGAACCGATTTCTGTGCCACAGAACCCAAGCAAGTTTCAAATAGTTAACTTAAGACTACAATATTTTGTTATAGCATGGCTGAAGGTGTGGCGGGCGCCGCAGGTGTTAGTATGGATACTCTGTCTGGCTTAGTCCACCCCTATGCCTACACATCCATCGGTATACACAGCTTTCTGCAGAAACACAACATCAACTCTCCCAGATTATTTGTCCCAGCAACCTGTCATTACTCTTGGCCCAAGGCTGCTACAGTTCTGGGACTGGGTGAAGACAACTTAATCCATATCAATGTTACTGCACTAGCCAGACAAGACATGAACCGTAAGTATTTGAATCCTTACCTAAGCAAAATTCCTACTGTACTCACAGAAACTTTGATAGTGTAAACCAGTCTGAATATTCTGATAGCAAACGACGTTTGTTTGTTCTTAGATTTGCGTGAAGAACTTCAGAAATGTGTCACGAACGCAATCCCAGTGATCTCTGTGACGGCTGTTATGGGTAGCACGGAAGAAAGTGCCATTGATCCACTGATAGAAATGCTCGCCATTAGAGAAGAATTCAAGAGGAAGGTATATATGTTTGTTTGAGAAAAAAACTAAAAACTTGTTCTAGGTTAAAACTGTCTTCAATCTATGTCAGACCACGAAGAGCCTCAATGGATATGCTTGCAATCTCGTGGAATAACTACAAATTCTCTTTTCTACATACACTATCTGAACATGCATGTAGGATACAGATTACTGTGCGACCTAATAGGAGAGATCTAGTTCTTTCTTTCTAAGATCCTTTCAGGAATAAAAAAAGTACCTAAGAAGCAACATCTGTTTGTCATACTCCCAGATGACCATCAGAATCGTCTCTTTCATCGCAGGGTTTGAACTTTGCTGTGTTGGCAGACGCCGCGTGGGGAGCGTACATGAGAACAATGTTGATTGATCCAGACAGTCCAGAAGAACAACAAAAAGCTCTGAGAAGGAAAGAAAAGAAAGGAAGACAACAACGAGAAAGGAACCGTAGTTCAATTATATCAAACTATGTCCCCATCTCCCCCCTGAGTCAGTATGCTAAAGATAATTTAAACGCAATACGTTTAGCAGATACTGTGACCAGTGACCCTCATAAGACTGGCTATGTGCCTTATCCAGCCGGGGGGTTGAGTTATAGAAATGGAACTATGAAAGACTTTGTTCTTCTGGCTGCTCCTGAAGTCTTTCATTCTGAAGATGATCTTAGTGTCGGAGTAAATGGTCTGGAGGGGTCAAAACCCGGTGCTGCAGGTGCTGGTGTCCTACTGTCTCACAGGGTAGGCATTGTTTAAACATTGTACAGTTGCTTAATATTGTTTTCTACTTCTATTGCTCAACGTATATCGTTCAAATTTCCATTGTTTTATTGTTCAAATTTCCATTGTTCTATTGTTCAAATCTATTACCATTGCTCTATTGTTCAAATGTCCATTGTTCAAATTTATTTCCATTGTTCTGCTGTTCAAATTTCCATTGTTCTATTGTTCAAATTTATTTCCATTGTTCTATTGTTCAAATTTCCATTGTTTTAATGTTCAAATTTCCATTGTTCTACTGTTCAAATTTCCATTGTTTTATTGTTCAAATTTCCATTGGTCTATTGTTCAAATTTCCATCGTTCTATTGTTCAAATTTCCATTGTTCAATAGGTAATTGGTATGGACATGTATGGTTATGGTCGTATCTTAGGTCAATGTGTGTATGGTTCAAAAATCTATTACTGTTTGTGGCTGCATCTTGCCAAACCCACAGATCCATTTATCATCAAGCCATATATTCCATGTTCTGATGAAGATAATGACCTGGCTAAAACTTTGATTGTTGGAAAATCAGACTTGCAGATTGTCACGGTATAATAGGTTTTTTTTTATTTTTGGGCGTAAACAACTCGTCACAAATTATTATCATTGGTATGGACAGAAAAAAATACTTTAAAACTTGCGGAAATGATTAAGACTAATACAGTACATCTTATGTCTTACTAGAACCCAGATGCCATGGGTTTGCTTGACAGAGTTGGACCTGACTGCATGATCAATAAATTTGGAATAAACTTCATTGTTGATGGAGTGAAGAACAACGATGTTGACCTTTCTACTGAGTATTCCAAGAAAATTGGACGAATCGTTTCTGTGAATGCTGACAAAAACAATTACAGAGTACCCCTCGTTATCTTCCAATCTATCATGGAACCAGGCACCTTTGGACAATCATTGATAGACTTTGAAGAATCGCTTGGCGTAAGTACTTCATGAAATGAACTATATTTATACTGGAGAGCTCTGTCACATATGAATTGTTCTCCCTAGAGATCCACTAATACGGGATCAATCTTCTCATTTTCGACCAAGAGAAATGATAATCAGACAACCTGTATAAAGCCCTAGTCATAATGATTGAAGGCGAGCATTGCCGCCAACACCCAAAGATAAGGAAGGACATAATAATGAAATTCCCAACTTCTGTGTGCTGTAGCTGACTGTGAACAATCAAAATCAATTTGGTTGTATGGTGAACACTGTGATGAACCCCTGGCAAGCAAGTGGAGAATTTGTTTGGAGAGTTGGTGAAATTTATCGCGAGGCTTGTCTTCTTGCTTATGGCTGGGTAAGTACTTCATCTCCTGGATGGATGATAAAGGTTCTCTGTCTTCATTGTTCATGATCATTTTGATGGTGCTGATGTTAGTGATGGTGCTGATGTTAGTGTTGATTATGATATTGATAAAAATTACCCTGACAAAATGTTGCATTTTCTAAGTTTTTCCTATTCTTTCCTAGCAACTTGACCCTAAAGCGAAACATATGTTCGTCTGTGGTGATCTTCAATACACCGAGAAGAATGGATGGTTCATGTACGCCAATGTGGTCGGAGAGTTTGGTAAGAAGGCGCAACAGTATGAATGTGTGACCAAGTTAGCCGTGCTAAACAAAGCTGATGTGGCTAAGATACAGAAATATCAGCATAATGGAGGATTGCTTGCTTCCAACAAGAAGGAAGAAGTTCTTTACCAGATGTTGTTGGATGCTGCGGCAGACACAGGTACGAACCAAGAATCATCGTAAGGTATGGTTAGTCCTTTTGACTCAATTAAGACAAACCAAGGCAGCTTATTATTGTAACCTATACACCTACACTGTAGTGACCCTAAGTTCCAGATATATTCTAACCTAAATAAATAGTTTACACACAAACCTAGGTTAACCCTTTTCAGGACGTTGAGACACAAACCACCCCAATTTATTGCAGAATACTATCTCCACTTGACATCCACGTTCGTCATGATTTCTAAAATCGCACTCGAATTGACGATCAAATAAAACGTGTCTTGTATGTTCATCCAGGTGCAGAGTTTGAGTTCAACTATCAAAACAAGAGAAGCAGCACTCTGTTCACAGCCTCTCTCAAAGTGATCGACACACCGCGAATCAAACATTTTGAAATACAGACAGACCCTGATCTACAGTATCCAGATCACTACCAATACTTCATGTATGGTGAGGGTGGCAAGATCTATCTATCTCACATGGTCACCAAGAAACCTGATTTCCAACAGGTAATCAAACTTAAACAACATTGAGTTATATTATACAATAATCACGGTAATTGTGAGCTTTTATCGATGTATTTTTGAGCAGTATAGTCAATTGTGTATCACTAGGCGAAGTAAAACGGTCTGGCATTAAGCAGTGTAAAATTCTTACGAGGCTATTTGATATAGGTGTGAATTTTGCCAAACAGACTGTTATTCCCATGTTGTTCTAAAGAGTCAAAAGTGATCCAGGGCGAGCAAAGGAACGATAGATCACATAGATCAATCTGATAGACCACTTGGGTCTACAGATCACATAGATCAACCTGACAGACCACTTGGGTCTACTAACTTGTATTCTTAACATCCTATTTTCAATTTTAGGTTGTCGAGGTTGAGACACTCCCAGTCAGAATGTATGGAGAAAAAGACGGTTGGTTACTTTGGTATGGTTTCCCAGTGACCTTCACAGATCTTCCTGTAAACCAGAATAACCCGAAGGCCAACCCACTGACCAACAGTGATCGTACCTACCACATCCGGTTCGCAGGAGAGAAACACAAGAACAGAGAGATGGATATAGTACTCGAAGATAACAATGGATGGTTTGATAACCACGTCTTAAATCGCTGAATATGACCCGTGAATAATGAACATTTGAAGCACTATTGATTGATAAGTAATTAGCATTATCAAGTAATTAGTATGATTAATTAATGAGCGTAATTAATAAAAGAATAATAAAGTGGTTAGCATGTTGCACACATGATTCAACGAACACGTATCGTTGAAACGAATGTGATAATTATACAATATATTGGTGTGTTAGGACGTCTTTCTCGTCCGTCATGACTCATGTTCTTGGAATTTCAGAAAATCACCATAGTAACGAGGGACAACTAAATACGCATACTATTAGTATTACGTAGCCGTAGGTACTTTATTTGGTGTAGAGGGGATGTAGAATATAAGGTATTGTACTTTCATGCGTTAATACAAATAAAGCACTGTTTTTCGCAAGCATTGTGTCATTGTAATCAACTCAATAGTTTATTATGCTCCTTCTATATCACTATACTGGATGAAACAGAACCTGTGCATATATTTCAATAGCTTACTTTTTACACATTCGAATTCTGGCGTTTGGCCTACTTGAATATAAATCAGTTTATCGACCGCGCATAACTAAGAGGCCTAGGGACTACGCTGATTTGGCGGGTAAATTGAAAAAGACTGGAAACGAAGCTATTAAAAGTCCTGAAATGTGACAATATAAACAAATACACACGTGTACCCTTGATATGTGGACAATTGTGCTGTAAAATGTTCGCAGCAAGAGTTCAGTTGAGAAAGCTTGTTGCTTACTGCTGTATACGGTTCTATCATACGAGTTTAAGAGTTTGGAGCAAGAGGAATTTAGTGCCAGAACGATTCCTAACCCTAGCGGAGACCTCGGGATTCACCAACGCATCAGGAAAGAAAATAGCGAAAAATTACAACAAGAAAAGGTATAATTATGCAATATACAAATTATATATGCTACCCCCTGACAGTAAGTTGTAGCATCAGTTAATGTTAGATTAGATATAATTTCCAGGAGTGGGCATTTCCATTGTCAGGGCTCACCCTTGGAGTCTTGCCCTTGTGCCTCTTAGCCTTGCTTTCCTGTTTATGCTGTCAGGTCTTGTATTTATGGACCTTGTTGGCCTACAGTATGGCATGGTATGGTATGACTATGGTACAGTAAACTTTAATTATGTAGCTAACTCCTGGCTGGTATTCAGAATCAACCCCTCCCTCGTGCAATGGCCTCATGCATGGTATATGTTCTAGATTAGAAAAAAGCAATATATCGAAGAAAGAGTATATCTATGGTATATCACCATGTCTGACTGCACTTGAAGCAAACAGAAGAAAATTTTACACAATTTATTTCAATGATGAATCACTGAATACAAAATCAAGGTAAGACTATAAAGATAGTAAGATTTTTTCTGATATTTTACGAAGTCAGTCTTGTCATGAACCTGTTTCCGGTCAACCCAAGTTGCATGTCCCAAGGTTGCTCATTTTATGTTTCTTATAATTATCTCAGACCACAGTTTAAAATGATCAAAACTCTATCAACTCAGAGAAATATCCCAACAAAGTCAGTTTCAAGAAAACGATTGGATGATCTTTGCGGACATCGACCTCATCAAGTATGTCAAAATATTTTTATCAAAACACAAGTTTTGATTCAAGTATAAATTAGAATCGTGGCTACTGCATCCATCTTTTTCAACTTGACAGTACAACGACGTTTGTGATTTTGTAGAATATTGTCATGAAGGTTGGTAATCTCTCATTGCTCCCTCTGAAAACTGATTACGAAAGGTGAACTTTTAGAAATGTTTTATTGATACATGAGATCCTTCATATACAATAAATTGCTGCACGTTTTCAACTAATCCCATATGGTCTAGTGGTTAGGATTCGTGGTTTTCACCCACGCGGCCCGGGTTCGATTCCCGGTATGGGAAAGTTATCTTTTTAAATTTTTTTCATTCATATTTTTATTTTTTCTTGTCTTTATTTCATAGACCTCATCTTCGCCATTCAAAAATCCTTACATTTTTATTTTGAACTTTTTGTAGTGATTCTACAGCGAGTATATTAAACGCTCATAAAAATCGCCCAGCACTTTGGCTAATTCTTCAAGGAATTCAGGTAAAACGTATATATCTCACTTTATATTAACTTCTAAATAAAAGCGATCATGTTATGATACATATTTGCTAAAATTGCGCTGGTTTTTAGAAAGTTTATTGGCGAAATTTTGAATTTTTTCTTCGACTTTTGTCAATTTTTTTTTGCTCGCCCCAGACCCCATTGTGACTCGCGGTCAAACACAGCCTGCCCAAAACCAATATGTCTTAATATAGATTATAGGATAATATGAATATTGTAAAAATGAATACTTTGATCATGCCTAGAATTATTTGTAAATTTCAAGGATCCTATGAACATGGGGGCAATACTCCGTACAGCTGTCTTTCTTGGAGTAGATAAAGTTGTGAGCAGCGAATATGACAGGTATACATCTATCTGTCAACCAATGAAGCCATCATCATCAACCAACCAAATAACAACCACAATGTTAACAGCGGTTTCAATAGGCAACTGTGCAACTCAGTAATGAGGGCAACTCTCTGTCCATGAAAGGTTTTCTTTCCTTTTTCAAGCTGAGGGTAACAGTAGTTAACCCAAGGTGACAAAATATATCTTCCATTGATATAAGGTACATAATACTTCTCATTCAGCTGTGCCCTTACTCCTGCTGTAAGCAAGGCGAGTGCCGGGGCAATGGAAGCTTTGCCAGTATATTCAACAAACATCAAAGAATTACTAAAGGTACTACTAGTTAAACAATATGTTGTGCTGTGTTTTATGTGAAATTATATGTAATGTTGTTACTCTGCATGACTTGAAAAGTCATATTAATTTAACAATGGCAAACAGAAATTCAAACAAACATGTCGAATGAATATCAAGTAAACGTGGAAGATCAAATGGAGCGAAAGCCTTCCATGAGATGAGATATTACAAGAAAAGACATAAACCTTGTACAAAACTGTTGCATTATCATATTTCAGAGAAAAAGAGAAGAAGACTATGAGATTCTAGGAACAGTCAGCCCACATTTTGTTCCTCAAGAAAACAGATCATCCATTGTAACTGTCAGCAATGAATTGAAATTGGAGAAACCTTCCCTGCTTGTGTTAGGTTGGTTGGAATAGATTGGGAGGTTAGCTTCCCGGTTCCTCTGTGGGGGAGGTGTGTTTCCTGAAATTAATGACTCATTTTGCTTTCAGCAAAATTGACATTGACTAATGAAAATGACTCATTTTGCTTTCAGAAAAATTGGTCAACGAAATGAGCCAAATCTAGTGAAAATGACCTCATTGTTTGGGGTCATTTGCATTAAGCCTGGTTCACATAAAATCGTTAAGCAGTCGCAGACATGTGCCGAATTTTTATATGAACACAAATGCAGATTTGCACAGACTGTCTGAGACCGGATCGGCGACGGATCGGGAAAGTTGAACTTGGTTCAACTTTCCCGATCTGTCGCAGATCGTTCATATAAAAATTTGGCACATGTCTGCGACTGCTTAACGATTTTATGTGAACCAGGCTTTAGGTTTGCCAGATGAAAAGTACACATCATTATTAACCATGTCTTGATAGTCCAATATTATGGAAAAACTCAAGACCATTCTTAGAGGGTGTTGATGGACTATATCTGTGAGTCGTGATTGCTCATTTTGGTCACTGTAAGAGTGATGAAAACACTAAAAATTTTACCGTGAAGCGTAAGGAAAAAGACTGTTTATCGTTTCAGAACGCTTTTCAGCAAGTTTAAAAAATTTACCGTTAAAATACCAAACATTTACCGTTAAAACATCAAATTTTTACTGTTAAAATACCAACATTTTTACCGTTAAAGTACCAAAATTTTTACCGTTTACTGATTTTCAGACCCCTCCCCATCTAAACCCAATAGACTACATAACTTTTGCCTAAAACTGTCGGCAGGTATAACAAAAACGGCTATTTTAATGTGTTGATCGAGTTTGAATACAGTTTAAGAGTCAAAAGATGAATTACCGTTCAGTTTTTTCTTGCTACAACCATTCTGATGGGATAAATCGTCTACAAGTTGTTTGAGTGCCCGTCATTTGAATGAAAAGTCAAGTACAAAGAATAGTCAAAAGTCAAAGAATTGGCAAAAGCTCGGCTTTTAACTCAGTAATTCTATACTAATTAACCACTATAACTTCTCTAACCTTTTAGCCTTTCTTTAATACTTTCAAAGCTCCAATATTGATATTCTATTATTTCTAAAAAGATATCAAAGTATTAGACAATGGCTGATCGCATTATTAATCCGCACCCCCCCTATTGAGGACATGTGGAATTTCCGATGCCCCCCTGCAAAAGTGAACCAAAAATGAAGGAATTTCCATGGGAGGGTCCAAATTTTAAAGCAAATCTGCGGAAATTCCAAAGGGTAGGTAAGAAAATTGAGTAAAACGTATGGAATTTCCATGGGAGGGTCAACAATGGAAAAGA